TAAGGGGAAATGGGGTGGTTCGATAATTTTAAACACAACTGACTTGACTGGACTGGACTGGACTTATAGTTTAATTGGGCTAATAAAAGGTTTCATGAACAAAGTATTTTAACCACATTTTTCTCGTTCTCTCTCTCTTTTATTTTTCCTCTTTCTCTCTTTTTCTTCCTTGCTCTTTCTTCCCCTCTCTAGCACAGACAGGTACCTGGAGGGAAGATTAAATTCTTTTTTCTCTCACAGTGTTATATGTCAGTTGTTTTGAAACTTGTAAGGTTATATTGTACTTTGATGTTGTGCGCAAGCGTTTAATGAAGTTACTTCCACAGGCTCCAGGAGGAGGGAGGCCGGCGTGGGGGATTGCTTATTGCAGGGTGTTGTTGTGCATTGTTGTTGTGTATGTTTTAACTTTACTAATTGTAGGTAGACCTGTTGACTGCAAAGGCTTGGATGGGTGAATGAAAGACGAGACGAGAGAACACAGGTATCCCTGGAGAAGTCCAGTAGGTTCCTCATTTCAGTTTCAAGTGTATAGATGAATGTAAGAATAGCATTTTATTTCAGTTTTACAAGTTCTGTTTTATTATAACATTACAGTGTAAGAGTTCACACTAGCAGTAGCAATAACTAAGTGTCCAATAATTAAGAAACAGGTTTTACTCACTAGGAAGTAACCACAGTCAGTTTTCCAGGCCCACAAATGGGTCATGGATCCCACAGATAAAATAAGCAAAAGGCCATGCAGGGTGTTTAACAATTTGCAAGCTTTGGTGTCCAGCTTTTCTCATCAGGAGGGAGAATCTCTGACCGAGGAGATTGACTACGGACCATCACACCGGACTGGGTCCTGCTGAAAAGAGGGACAGGACCCCACCATGTGGTGGAGAGAACTTCACACGCCATCGGTCTCCAGAATGAGAGTGACACCTGTTATGACCACAACCAGTGCGCCCCTGGAGAGGAGCTGAATCGATCGCTGGACCTGATTGAGGCTGATCTGCTGGAACATCAGCTCCCCACTACACCTGGAGGAGGTGACAGGACCTTCGTGGGAGCTCATTCTTTGCCCCTTTGTTCTGGTTGGAAAAAGGCAGTAGCAAACATTGGAGAAGAAGTCTCCGCTCTGCCTAAGTCGGTCAGTCAGGTGGATCGGGTAAGGACGAAGATTACCAGCCCTGACCGTGAAGAACAGAAGACGCGTCAAACTGATTTTAGTTTTGTCCCAATGCACACACGTCATTTAGAATGTTTAATCAGACTGATAAAGGTTCTGAGGACTTTACATGAAGATATCTCCGCGGGCCGAATCCCGCCGAGCACCAAAGGACCCTTGTGGACGAACAAGGCCTCCCACCGCAAGC